GGAGGAGCCTTCCACGAGGGCAGATGGGAGGAGCCTTCCACGAGGGCTCATTGGGGATTCTCAACAGGGGAGGGGCAGGAGGGTAGGTAGGTGGTGATGGGAGGAACCTTCCCTCTTTGGGGATTCTCCTTTTGCCCTCCTTCCTCTCCCTTTGGGAGTATGAAAACAGAACAAAACAAAACAAAACAAAAACCCAACAACAGCTTCTGGCCAAGACTTGGTAGGGAAAATATCACCATGGCTCTCAAAACAGAAGAGTCAATGACTTGGAGTCCCAGAACACAACGCTCTGCTGTGCCTCCCTGGATCCCAGGGTGCGGGCCGCATACCCAGTACTTTCTCTGCACCCACACAAGTGGCTTCATCTGCTGTGCACTCACAAGCATTTCTATTGGTGCTTCGGTGTTGACTCCATGGTTTGTCAGAACATCCTAAACTTCGCGCCCTTTAACCCGTGCCATGACGGGAACAAGGGCCACCTCTCTCTTACCTTCCAGGTGAAAGGCTGAACCAGCTGCTAAGTGGCTCTCTGCCAGAATGCAGAGAGACAGGAGCCGAGTACCAACCTCAAATATTTGATCTGCCAGAGAAACTGACTAGCAGAGGCCTTGAGTTTCATTCTGGGCAACTTCTCCACGTGAAGAGCGGTCAGGCAGGACAGCCATCCTTGCACCGACTGTGGGATGGCTGACCCCTCATGAACGCTGTCATCCTCAGCTGGCTGACAACAGGAATAGGATTGTCATGTCATTGAACCTAGAGCTCACTGCTTTGGCTGGACTAGCTGACCATGAAGCCTCTGGGACCTGGGATCTATCTGCCTTTCCGCACTTCCCCAAAACTAGGGTTCTAGACTACCGCATCTGGTTCCTTACTGGCGCGCTGGGGACTGGAACTCCATCGTCTTTGCGCAGTAAGCCAGTAACTGTCTGAACCACATTCCCAGCCTCTCACACCCCAGTATAATGAAGTGGAAGATCTCTGTTGTGGTTAGAAAATAAGTTAACAGCCCCTTTCTGTTTAAGTACATCATTCTTGAATTCACTTCATAAGTTTGTTAGAGCAGCACAGATTCAAGGAGAGAGCAAGAGAGCGGGCAAGCCTCCCTTGAGGGAAGGTAAGAATCCACGAGAGAGGACAGGAAAGGGCGGCAGGTTTCACAGCTCCTCAGCAGAGCAGTTCATTGGCTGACTTCCCTGTCTACACCCCTGAGACTGAACTCAGGAGGGTGTCAAACAGTGGATGACCCTTCTCTCCCCAGGAACAGCAGCAACAACAACAACAACAACAACAACAACAAAAAGCAGAATTCTAAGACCTCTCTGTCCAGTCTCTCTCTCATTGGACAGCTAAGCCATGAGGCTGACTGCCCACTCTGAAGCCTGACGACTTTAAGGAGGACAAGGGAAAAGGAAGAGAGTGAGAGAGAAGGTTCTAGGTCTTAGCAACTTGACATGGCCTCTTTAAGACAACCAAGCAGTTGTTTCTTAAGCCCCTCCCACACCCACTCCACCCTAGTGCTTAACCATGAAACAACACAGGGAGAAGAGCTGAAGAGATTTTTTGAGGAAGGGCTAAAGAGAGATAAAAATAGCCTTGGCCTCAGAGTAGAAATCTAAGCCCTTGTTGAGGATACTTCCAGACAGTTTTTCCTTTGGCCAATCACTGCAAGAAACTTTCAAATACCAGCAGAATCCCAAGAACAATGTTAATGCAACAACAGAGCCTTGAGGCCTCCTGGGGGCCCTGGAAGCCAGAGCAGCCATGATTTTGGGCCTACCACAAACCCTTCATCTTGGCTTAGAAAATATCTTTCCTCTCAGATCCCAGCTCCAGGTTCTCGTCCTCTGAGGAGAGCTGTCCCAGGGCAGCCAACTCACCAGGGTCTCTTCTGGGTTCCCGTTAGCTATCTCCACCACTCTCAGGGCAGGCTCCACCTTCACCTTGGCTCGTGCCATGAACTGGATGACAGAGGAGCTATCCTGTGGACGAAATGACACAACTCACCATGAGATGCTTTCAAATGACATTGAGAATGATATGCCCATGAGAGGGACTATGCAGAGCTGAACTCTCAGGGTTCCATGAAGATTCCACACAAATTTTATCACTGAACTAGCAACTTCCTTATCCCTGGTACCCACAGAGCATACACTGCTGCCTTCTCTTGAGAATTCCTTTGGATGGTGGAGAATGCAGAGTTACCATTGCATCTTCCAGTAACAAACACATGCAAGCCTGTGTGCTGCGGTTTCCGAGTGGCGAGGGCTAGATAGCTAGAGGTGGATACTGACATATTCACAAAGAGTGGAAGATAAATAAAGCTGTTTAATTGTGTGCAACAAATCCCAGCCTGGCATCCCCAGAAGGCATCTGATTCTCATTTTCTAGTCATCTTCCTGCCCAGACCACAGCTCTCAAAAACATGAAAGCTTAGCTATTCTTAACTCTTTCTTTGCTCTTGAATGAAGTTGTCTTAGGGCTGAACATTCAAAGAAGGTATCTGAGGGCACAGTGACAGGTTGGGGTTGGGTGAGGGAGACAAACATCTAGTTTATAAATCAGGTCTGAGGGGTAAAAAGGGGGGCCTCTGAGCCTCAGGCTGTTGGCAGAAGCAGTTGAAAGCCTCGATGTGGGCTCTGTTTCAAAGCCACCATCCAGATACCACGAACATGGCTCCAAAGTAGAGATGGAGAAAGAATTTGGAAAAAGATATGGATTGGCAAAATTAGGAAAGGCCAGGGTCCTAGGTCAGACGGGGCTGTTGCTGATTGTGGAGTGTCCTCACTGCCCCTGAGGGATGACTGGGCTCTGCCAGTCAGGTGTCTTTAGTCTTTTCACCTGAGTTTCTCGGTCACTCCAGGAAGCCACTGTGGTTTGTACAGGTCCATAGGTTTCAGGCGTTGTGATTATAATCTTTAAAGACGTGTGCTGTGGGATTCAGCGGGAGGCTTCTGGGAGCTAGTCAGATTAGGCAAGTCGGAAGGATGGAGTGTCCCTGTGCCTTGTGGCAGTTTCCTGGGATTGAAATCTTTTTTTTTTTTTTCCCCCAAGAGAAAGTAGAAGGCTTATGTGACCTGGGAGGTAAAGGAGAGGTCACCAGTCTGGGAAAGTGAAACTAGAGAGATTCTGGTTTCTCCCTCCCAGCTTTAGGAAAGGAATATGCAGCTGCTGGGGGAGGGGCTCTGACCAGAACTGTTGCAGAGAGGAATTTCTCAGAGTTCAGGGCTGCAGAGTCTGGGTTGTCACCTATAAGGGGGTAAAGGGAGAGGGGTGATGGAATGAGAGTGTGGGGGGGGAGCAAGGGGTGGGCTTTTCAGCAGTGTAGCAGCTGCTAGGAGTCATCTTGGTTCCTGTGAGTGGCCATACATCTATACTCCTGTAGGAACCACAACAGATATTCATTGGCTCACCAGGTTGCACTTTGGCCCAATGATTACTTTGGTTTGTTGTTGGATTTCCTTTCAGAGGTGTGTGTGTGTGTGTGTGTGTGTGTGTGTGTGTGTGTGTGTGTGTGTTTATGTGAATGTTCCAGGAAAAGTTTGTCACACAATTCTGTGGTGACAGTTTTCTAAGAAGAGGAAAGACCTGTTGTGCCACCATGTAGCTCGAGGCCCCCACAGGAGGCTAAATGAATGCACAGGTCCTTGGACTTCTCATCCTCCAGGTTTGAGTCTGGAGAAGTTGAAGGCACTTTTATTATTTATATGTCACCCGGTCCCATGCTCCCCGTGACACAGAAAATAGGCTAAGACAGATCTCACAATCAATGGCCAGTGTTGACCTACACTGGCCCAAGGCACACAGAAATAACAAAGGCCTCTCTGTATCAGTGGTGCTCACTGTTCCTAATGCTGCAACCCTTTAAGGCAGTCCCTCAGGCTGTGGTGACCCCATCCGTAGAATTGATTTCTGTTACTAATTAAATCCTCTTGCTACTGTTATGAGTCGTAATGTAAATATCTGATATGCAGATGGTTTCAGGCAACTCCTGTGGAAGAGTTTTTTGACTCCCAAAGGGGCTGTGCCTCACAGTTTGAGAAACATAGCTCTAGATATGTTCTAAGGGTTCCCTTTGCTCATCACCCAGGAAACCACAGAGACCACCCTGGGACAGAACAAGGAAACCCTTGATAGTGTACTTTACGTAGAAGTTGTATACAAACTATTCTTAAAACAAAACAAAACAAAACAAAAAGCTCCAGCTGAAAACAGCTTAAGAGATTCATAAACAGTTGTCCACATTAATGAGATTTAATGGGATATTTCCAGACACCCACAGGAGTGCTGGGCTCCTATGAGTAAGGCCCACTTGAACTTGAGAACTATATATGCACTGGTAAAATTAAACTTAATTATTTAAAAAAAATTAATGTTAATTATGCATATTTCTGTGTGTCTGCTATTTGTGTAGGGGAGCATATGCACATGAGTGCAGGTGCCTGCAGAGGCCAGAAGAGGGCGTCAGGTCCCCTGGGTTTGGAGTTACAGGCAGTTGTGAGTCACCATGTGGTTGCTGGGAACTAACTCTGGTTCTCTGGAAGAGCAGTCAGTGCTCTTAACTGCTGAGTCATCTCTCCAGCTCCCCTTCCTTCCTTCCTTCCTTCCTTCCTTCCTTCCTTCCTTCCTTCCTTCCTCCCTCCCTCCCTCCCTCCCTCCCTCCCTTCCTTCCTTTTCTTCATTTTTCTTTTTTTGGAACCACTCTCTCCTTTAATAAAAAAAAAAAACTTTTTAAATTGTTCTAGGAGGATTGTCATTCAAAAGAATATTTCTGCTTCATAAAATCCTCCAGCAATTTAATAGTTTTATAAATTTTAGTTTTCTGTATCCTCTGACCCTCTATTGATTTTACACTTAATTAATTACTTAATTTAGTGTGGGAGTATTGGGGGTTATGTACAGGTAATAGCCTACATGAGAGATCAGTAGACAATTTTTATTGGTCCGTTTTCTCCTTCCATCATGTGGAATGTGGGGATGGAGCAATGTAGCCAGGCTTGGCAGCAAGCCCTTTACCCACTGAGCCATAGAGCCATCCTCTGATACTGTATTTTTATTATAAATCATCAGTGTCACCACCGTAGATATTAACAGCGGTAATAATGGTTAGGTTAGAGGCCAAGCAGATGAAGGGCTGGCATAGAGGAGGCCCCTGGTGGCTGTGAAAAAGGCCTTAGGGACACTTGCAAAGAAATCCTATCCTTCGAAGATTAAAAAAAAAAATCAGACCCAACATTTCAAATGAAAACCAGCGAGGTTAAAACAATAAAACCTCAGATTCCCTTGCCTGGAGTCAGACCTTGAGGTCAAAGGAAAATAAACAACCCTAGGCTGAGGCCAGCCACAAGGTCTATGTTGATTCAAGTCCTCAGGGAGACCCAATGGCCCTGGAGCCATCTGGTCGACTCCCCAAATGCCCTGTGCTAGGGTCCAGGCCTGACAGTGCTTCAGGGTTGAGGTGCACTCTGTGCCTAAGTTTCTGCTGTATGACAACCCAGAGCTGTCACTTCTCCTGCCTGGGGGGGCTCCATTGGTTTGCCTGACCAGTGAGAACAACATTTCTAGGATGGAGTCCTTGGTTAAGTGTCAATCACTGAACAGGAGAGAGAGAGAGAGAAAGAGAGAGAGAGAGAGAGAAACAACCAGCTGCTCACAGTTACAATCAACCCCTGTGACTGAATCTAACAGCAGCCATGGATGAGGGCAGAGAGATGGCAAGCAGAGCGGCCCTCACCCTTTAGTGCTATTGCTCTGGGGACAGTGATGAGTAAGTTCAGGGGAAAAAAATAGACTGGCAGCAGCACTGGCTAAGATGGACCAGGGAGAAAGTACGTCGGCTCTTAGGGAACCATGTCAGGGAGGGACTCCTTGGAGAGAGATGGTAGACTAGCTCACACCTGGCCTCCGCTAACACTAATATCAAGTGGCTATGTCAGGGAAACCCTGAGTGGGAGCCCAACTTCCCCAACCGGTTTCCAAACTAGGGAACCCAGATGGTGTCCAGCTCTCCACAGTTTGTGGAGACTGTAATAGCTATATTGAGATGGGGAAAACAGAGCAAACTCCATCCCCCAACGACTGCATCTTCTCAGGCTGCCGCGTCACTGCTGGGTCTAATTACAAGCTGACCATGTGATAGCTCTGATGCTTCTCACCTGTGGGCTGTCTGGATGGCTTTGTACACATCTTGCATGTTTAGTCTTTTCAAATAAATTTAAAAAGGAACTCTGAGACTAACACGTATGTTTTTTTTTTACCTTCATATCCAACTATTTCTATGGCATCCTGTGGCACAAAGCCTATCATACCAGCAAGCTCTTATCTTAAAATAAATCAGAGTAAACCTTTCTTAAGGGGCACTGATTTGCTTGCTGAGATATTTGGAACCCTATTTGTTGAACTCATAGTAGCAAAGTGGTCTGTGGTTCACAAATCCAACTTCTTTGAGGGATCATTTGAACAAGCAATCAGGCCAACTAGGCTTCATGGGTTAGATCTGGCCCTCTTCTTGTTTGTGTAAATAAAGTTTTATTAGGAACTCAGCCATGCATTTGAATATTGTCTATGGCTGCTGGCAGAGTTAAACTGTTGCAAACAACTAAATTAGCATATACATCGGTGCCATATGCCACACACACTCTAGTGTAGCTATGAACATGGATAGCCCAATACAAAATCAATTTATTTAAAACAGTGTGAGTTTGTTTATTGTGAGCTGTTTTTGTAAGTTGGTGAGCATCTCAAGTCTGACTGTCACAGGTGACAATAGTATGTCACAAGGTCAAAAGGCTGAACATGCTGATTCTGGCCCTAAAGCCTAAAACAATTCTTGCTAGCCCTCGACAGAAAAGGCTGGCCGATCTTTGATCAAAACTGGGACAAAACATGGTCCCCAAATCAGTAGAATTTGTAAGCTTGTTAGCAACATCTCAGGTTTCAACCCCCAAAGAATCAGAGGTTTTATAAGCCCAAGGAGATATTTGCTTTTTCGAGAGACCAGACCGGCCTCAAACTGAGAGATCCGGCTACCTACGCCTGGAACTAAAGGCATGTAGCCACGGCACTGCCCTACAGATTAGGAAAATTGAAGAACGACAGCACAGATGGGAGGATGAGAACTCGGGAAGCTGGGAAAGATGCTAGGACACTCTCTGTAACACCGCCAGTACTTGGATTAAAGCGTGAACACTGAGGGTCTGATTCTGTTTCTCGGCAACGTCTGGTGGACCAATCGCCAGCGGTGCATGCTGGGAAAGTTTGACAAGGAGCAGCCCGAGTGTTCCGGGGGAACAGAATCCAGGGATTCTGGGTAACCTCTGAGAGCGCAGGCTGGGGACTCACCTTCTTTAGTATCTCTGTGTTCAGTAGCATGTACAGGTCGATGGTCCGGCTCTCCTCTTTAGGGAGAGCACTAAGGTTGCAGTGCAATGTTAGGCAGAAGCTCCTTGGATTTTCACAGTCCTGAGGAGAAAATTTCCAGATGGAATTAAGAGACAGAGACCATCCAAAGCCATCTAAAGTGCAGAGTGTCTGTCATGTTGACGGAGGAGAAATCAAGAGGAAGAGGTGGAGCCCGTGGAATAGCTGACGCCAGACCTCCTGCCCAGCTTGTCTGGGGCCCGGAATTCCATCCCGCTCCAAAATTCAGAGTAAAATAGGAGTTTAGTGTGACCGGTCACTGAATACACCTGTCCCATCAATTTATTTAGAAAAAAGTGATTTTTAAACAAATATGGTATGGGGAGAGGGATTGTGTAACCTGAGCTATTTCCATGATTTCTTCTGTTTAAAACTATACTACACAATTCAATTACTGTTATTTAATATATAAATTGTACTGCTATAAGGAATAGCTTAAAAACCAAAACAAACAAACAAACAAACAAAAAACCAACCAAACTATAACTAACATACCCACTCCTAAACTAAAGAAGATGTAATTATGCTCTGTCACCCGCAGAGGGCGGTAGAAGAATTTTCGGCCTTGTTGGGCACTAGGGCTCTGGTCTCGAGTGTTTGGGGGCATCCACAAGTAGATGCCCAATGGTTGTATGATTAATCCTCCCAAAAAGTTGAATTTCACAAGAATCAATTCTTCTCAAAAAGAAACATTTAGATATCCTGATGTACCTTTATGTGTTTTTAAACAAGAATACTTTCTGACTACAGTTGATTCTGGGTCCCTGCTTTGGCAGGTAGACGTCAGGCTCCTGATTGGTGGATGGGGTGGGGTGGGGGTTGGTGCTTAAAGAACAAAGAAGCTGTATGACTCAGAGACACATAAACTTCCAAGGGAAAGTTTATTCCAATGACCAATGAGGGATTTTTCTTTTGTATTTGGAAGTGTGTCTTTATATATAAAGTGTGTGTGTATGTTTCTCTGTCTCTCTGTCTCTGTCTCTCTCTGTCTCTCTCTGTCTCTCTCTCTCTCTCTGTCTCTCTCTCTGTCTCTCTCTCTCTCTCTCTCTCTCTCTCTGTGTGTGTGTGTGTGTGTGTGTGTGTGTGTGTGTGTGTGTGTGTACCTGTGTGAAGCTTTGATCGCAGGGGTTATTTTTAGCTTGACCTGGAGTTATATGGAACAAACAGCCAATGTCACTATATCTGTCCCCAAGGGCCTTTACAAAGATGAGCTATCCTTACATTTGTGCTACTGGTCAGCTTGACATAATTTAGAATTCTAGAAAGACAGTCTCAGTGAGGGATCAGGGTGGTCTATGAAGGGCTATCTCTACTATACTGATTGATGTGGGAAGACCCGCCCACTGTGGGTGGTGCCATTCCCTAGGCAGGGTGTCCTGAACTGTGTGAGAATAGAGAAAGTGAGCTGAGCACAGCAGAAATGTCTTAATTCTTTTCTCTCTGTTTCTTCACTGTGGATGCAAGGTGACTGGGTGTCTCGTGACTTCTGCACAGTGATGGACTGCACCCCAGGAATTGTGGGCTAAAATGAACTTTTCTCTCCTAAGTGGCTTATGCCAGGGTATATTGTCATACCAAAAGAAGCAAAATGGTAGAGAAGAGGAAAAAAAAATCCAAACCTCTAATAGCAAGCAGCTGAGCTCTCCAAGGGAAAGGAGAGGTGTTCAAGTGCCTGTGGGGTGTGCTTAGGTGGAAGCTGAGAGCTCAGTGAATGTAATCAGGGTGCAGGAAGGGGACTTTGGAAAAGTCCTGAGGAGGTAGGACATACACAGTAAAAAGAACAAATTGTAAATATTATATTGATACATTTTACATGTGTTTTACATGTGTATTATGTATGTTCCACATATGTTTTATGTATGTTTTCACCAGAGCACGTTTAACCTGACCATGCTACCTTTTTGTCATCTTTACTCCTTACACACATGACATTCCAGAATGTCCCTTTATTCATCTTTCATCTAGTGTAATTTCTGTGAGACTTACTTATGCTATACAGTGCATCGAATACTCTTAGGTACATTTATTTTTTTATAGTTCTATAATATTCCTGTGTATGGATAAACCTGTTTTCTCATTGTACTGCCGATAAATATCTGAATTGTTCAGATTTTGGCTACTCTAAAATTGTTTCAAATATTCCTGCGTCTTTCAACAACATGTGTATTCACTTCTCTGGGACAGACCCAGAAATGATACATTTTTCTGGGTTGTATAATATATACATGTTTACTTTTAATAGGAATTGCTAGGAGGTTTCCCCATGGTACTGTAGATTCCTTCCAGGATCCTGGTTGGTAGGCTGTTTAGGTTTTCTGTTAGTCAGGCAGTGAGATTTGGAATAAAGTTTTAACATTTTGAGGGAAACCCTGGCCTGAAAAGTAGGGGTTGATCACAGTCCTTGGGTCTTTTTTAGTTAACCGATGAAAACCAGATTTGAGAAACAAGAAACATCAAGTAGAAGACCAGCCTCTCATCTCTGAGATGCCTTCTTCCCTGTGAGGCCCACCCTCATGGCCCCGTCACCAAGCAACATCTTACCAACACTTTTCTTCCGGACTTGGAGAAAAAAGCAAATATGGTGTGGAAGATGTTCTCTTGTTCTTGAGGGATGATGCAGGGGGTTGGGTTTCTTTGTAAAGAGCAGTTACCCTTCTCCTGGCTCACCTGGAATCAGAAAGAGACATTTTAGAGCCAGTGGTCTAAGAAAGGACAGATCTAGAAGCATCTGGCACAGCAGCTGAGCAGAGACTCTCCCTGCTGCCATTCTCTAGAGGACAAGAACAGTCAAAGGGCATTTCGTTTTGTGAGATTCTTGACTATGTTTCCTAGTATGGCCTTGAACACCTGGGTTCAAGATATCCTCCTGCCTCAGCAGGCCTGGAAGCCAAGCCCACAGGCTTACCACAGCTCTGGATGAGAAGTGTTTAAGGCAGAAGTTATGTCAGAAAAATGTGGCTATGAAGTCCTTAAATAACCGAGCTGAGATGACCACGACATGCAAATGAGATCTGAGGAGTAGCTCCAGCCTTCTGCTTCTTGATTTCAAAACTCATTGACATCACTCCTGTCAGACAGGCGTTTAGGAGGCAAAAAGAAATTCATGTCACATGCTAACAGAGTCAAGAGCCCTGGTCTGGAGCTCAGGACTTCTGGGACCTTAGGTCATTCAGAGCTTATAAATGTGTCTCATGTATGGCCCACTGTTGGAAGTTTCTAGAAGGTTCCATGGAGTCACCAGGATGTGGTAAAACCCCTTAGGAGATATTCTTGAGAGAATTGCTCTGGGCCCTCATTTCTGCTCCAACTGGAGCATCAACCACGTGGTGGGTACCCGAGGTTTGGTTTCATGAGCTCATGCTGTCAGACCTTCTGTCTCCTTTCATTCTCAAGCACGCAGGACTCCCCTTCCCTGGCTTGTCCCTTGAGGGGACAATGCTGACTGACAGACCCAGAGAAGACAGTCTTCTGCACAGAAGTTCCAGTGAAGACCCCCTGCTTCCCCAAGACCTGGCCATCATACCACACACCCGGTTGGTACTGAGAACGCCTCCAAGCCTTGAAGGACAGACACACTGACTCACTGAAATCAGAGGCAGGTCAAGAGTCCCTCAGCATTCTGAAAACTGGTGCTCTGGCATTCCAGGCAGTGGGAGAAACCTGGTTGCCAACCTACCCTAGCTGGTTTTGCACAAGAGCCCCCAGTATGATAAGATGAGGTGACATCTGGTCACAGGTGCCAGTAGAGAGGGGTAGGGGCCGGGTGCAGAGCAAAGTGCATGAGAAATGGCCAGGCCTTTGTAGGCAGAGTCAGAGCCAGAACTAATTTCTTCTTCCACAGGGCGTCTCTGGGGCGGTTTGTGTACAGTGGAGTGATGGTCAGGGCATCTGATGCCTTATGACAGTCTGCCCCCAGTGGAATGTGGAGCAGGAAGCAGAAGCTGAAGTCAGTGGTGGATGAAAACCTTGGCCATGGCGCTCCTGACTGTGGTTATATGGGAATCATTTTAATCAGGAAATAACCCACTTTTCTGGGAGGCTCAGGGTGGTCTTGTTTCAGCAGGAGACTGAAGGCTCCCAGGGTCTCTATGGGTTCTGATCTCAGCAGCTAAAATCCAGCCATTCAGTCCCTGACCAGGGTCACTGCAGGGAGCACTCCTCTGAGAGGATGAACAGGTCACAGTCACGGTAACATCCGGGATTAGCTCTGAGGGCCACTCACACTTCAACATCTGCTTCACAACAGTCCCGTGGGATGGGGCGAATCTGGTGCCATCTTAAAGATGGAGGTACAGGGAGATAAGAAGACAGATCTGCAGACAGAGGTGCTCTTGAGAGTGGGCCATGAGCCATACACATACTAGGTTCAGGGGTCAAGGATGGACTGTGGTGGGGTCAGGGAGGAAGACAACCATCCACCCTCTTATTACCCAGAATTCTTCATGGTGACCCATTTTGCCACTGTCTCCTCTCAGTCCCCCAACAAAAAGCTGACTGCTAGCCAGCCCATGGGAGGGTTGAAGACCTGCAGACTGGGAGGCCAGGCCACTTTGTGTTGTCTCTGGGTCTGGAAGGGGAACAGAGTTCCTTGGAATGTTGTGTTTGGAATGCAGTTCCCAGATCACACAGTCCTTGGCCTTGGCTGACAGATAAGGACCCGAGGCCTTAGGTTTGGTGACTTGTCCAAGGTTACATGGTTGGCTATTAGCAACAGCCTGAACCCAGTTAAAGGAACCCAGGGAGCGGATGCTATCCCATACACCACTCTTGGCCTCTGTCCCCTCCCCTCTTATTTCATTGGACATGATTGTCTCCAACTCCCTCTTTGTCCTGTGTTTGACAAAGTCCACTCATCTCTACAGTTGAACGAGGCTTACTATGTCTATACAGTACACCACCCCGCCTCTGCTGATGAGCACCTAGGTAGGGTCTGTAACTCGACTGTTGTGAACCATGTAGTCTACTTTTAAAAATGTGTGTCCATGCTTGTGTGCAGGCACATGTGCACACAGAGACCAGGGGACAACCTTGAGCGTCAGCCCAGAGATACCATCATCCTTCTCAGACTAGATGGCCTGGCTGGTGGCCCCTAAGGATCCTCCTGTCCCCAGCTCTCCAGCACGAGGATTACAAACGTCAGCCCTGACCCCTAGCTTTTTCATGTGGGTGCTGGGGATTGAACTCAGTTCCTCATGCTTGTAAGGTGAGCATGCTAACCCTCTGAGCTGTCTCTTCAGCTCAGAAGATGAATGTTTGGGGCTATTTTTTGAGAAAGAGTTTCTCTGTGTAGCCCTGGCTGTCCTGGAACTCACTTTGTAGACCAGGCTGGCCTCGAACTCAGAAATCTGCCTGCCTCTACCTCCCAAGGGCTGGGATTAAAGGTGTGTACTACCGCCTGGCTACACTCGTGAATACTCAGTGTGGTACCTGCTGCAGCTGAGCTCTGCCTCTTCACAACCATGACAACCTGAGTCTCCCAGGCTTTGGTTTCCTTATCTACAGATTTAGCACAGTGACCTACATGGTTACTCCTAGGAGCTGATCACACGCTTCCAGGCTCCTACGTCCAGCTTCCACGGAGCATCCTGTGTCCGTGTGAACAGAGGAGGCATGCGTGCCATGGTGCATGTGTGGAGGTTGGACTCAGTTCTTTCCTACCATGTGGGTTCTGGGAATCAAACTCAGGGCACCAGGCTTAGTAGCCAGCACTTTTTAACTCATAGAACCATCTTCTCAGCCAGGGGTCCTCTTCTTCCATTCTGTAGATAAGCGATTGCTAAAACCCTTCCCCACGGGCTGGTTAATTTTGTCTAGAGAACCTCAGTCGTTAAAACAAGACAAAACAAAACATCCCTCTATAAGATCAGCCTTGGGAAAACCCATGGGAATTCTCCTGATTAACAATTAATGTGGGAGGGTCCAGCCCACCGTGGGCAGTGCCATCTCTGGGCTCATGGGTATTAGAAAATATCAGGCTGAGTGAACCCTGGATAGGAAGCTAGTAACAGGATTTCTCCATGGCCTCTGCATCAGTTCCTGCCTCCAGGTTCCTGCTTTGGCTTCCTGCACAATGGGCTGTAAGCTGTCAGCCAAATAAACCCTTTCCTCCCCAAATCGCTTTTGGCTATGGATGTTTATCGAAGCAAGAGAAAGCAAATTAGAATATCCCTTTAATCATCTTTGCTCAAAATCATGAGGAAATAAAAAAAAAAGTTTTTTCCTGTGTCACACCCAGCACCACACTGCTTGTGTTCAACAGTCCCATCTTCAGCTGGCTGAGGACCCTGTGGCCTCTGCTCCTTGCTTGCCTCGGCCCACTCACTCCCATACTTTCCCAGACTCCTGGAGTCCAAATGCTTCCCACGACAGGGCTGGTCCTCGGTGGGACCCCCGGGAGTTGAGGGAGGCCTGTGGCTATTGGAATCTGCACAAAAGAACGTACTGAGTCCACAACCAGGGACAAGAAGGCACGGGGCACATTGTTGAAGCTGGATTCTGCCGGCATAGTTACTGAGGGTTTTCTGTTGTTATCCGTCCTCTCCAAAGCTGACCCCAAAGAAAACACTGTGTAAGCTGAAACCAAGAGAGGGTGGTGGTGTGGTATACTGTCAGGAGAGCACACTGTGGAGTCCAAGATGACATGGACATCTCATGGTAGGAAAGTCATCCTGAAGGAGTGGCTGGAAACAGCCAAGATGTCAGAGGAGAGTGTCCCATCTGCTATAAATGGTCTTGCTTCATGAATCATGGGGTTTGAAGCCTGAATCAAGGCTCTTGTCTTGGTGATGACACTGCCAAGGAATTGCTAGCCAGGTGGAGTGGTTTGTGGGCCCTCTCTATGCAGAGTCCAGATAAAAGATAATCCTAGCTTCCATGAGGCACTACTGTATCAGGTGGAACATACATTGGATGCTTGCAATGCCTTTGAGTAGGGAGTACTGCCGTCAGTGTGGACACCCTATGACTGTATAAATGGGGCTTGACGAAATGTTTTAAATGATACATACATACAAAACTACGTATTTGTGAGCATAGCGTGAGTTTTCTTGTTAAAGTTTTTTTTTTTTTTAATGGTGTGTGTGTCAGAATGCAGTATGTAAGCAGACCATCAAGTCCCTGGAGCATCCACTGCCTTGAATGTCTGTCTGTCTGTCTGTCTGTCGTTTGTCTGTCTGTGTTGGGGATATTTAGCGCCTTCTCTGTTAGCTTCCTCACTGTGCCTCGTTTGTAGTAAACCATTTCTTCCCTCAAGCCCCTTTTTTCCATCCATCCCAGGCTCTGGTGGACACCGTCTCACACGAGACTATGAGGTCACCTTTTCTAGTTTCTGCTTGTTGAGAACATGTCTATTTTTATTCTATGTCTGGTTAACTTCACCTAATGTGATATCCTCCAGTTTCATCCATGCTGCCACAAATGACAGGGTGACATTTTTTTTTGTTAGGGCTGAATAATATCCACAGTTAGTTGACCAGTCATAACAGACAGACAGACAGACAGACAGACAGACAGACAGACAGACAGACAAACAGATGACAGACAGACATCAGAGGTGTTCCGGACAAACTGTGACACCAGGTCTCTGTCACCCACATTTTGCAGCTATAAGGGTCTGAGAGCTCAAGTAACCTATTCCTGTAGCTCTGTAAGTTTGGGAAGCAGAATCCCTGCCTCACTTCCTGCTGAAGTACCCGGGCTCTACAGATGGTGCTCTAACAACTGATTTCACATGCCCTGACCACTACAGTTTGTCCATCCGCAGCCTCAGAGCATTCTCTACTCAGGGAAGCTACCAGGTCTCCCCAAGGTCTTGAGGAGGGGGCACAGAATCTAGAGAGAAAGAAATAGCAAAGCCTGAGGGCACACACTGTGTCCTTGAGTTCAATCTTGGACAAGCATGGCTGATGGCAGGAGGGGTGGCCTGGGTGGAGGAATCCTGCTGAGGTGTGAATGCGCCCTCCCTCTCACTCACAGTTTGGTGTACCTTCCTGAGTGCTAGGATTGAAGTTGTACACCACCCTGTGTGCTAAGACTGCTGTCATAATAGGTGATGACCCCATCCTCATGTGTGCTAAGTCTGCAAACGTAGTGGGAGACAACCCACTCCCATTACTCTGTATCAAGAAGCTCTCACAGAGAGGTGCCAGGATCTTTGTAGCACGTGAACCTCTGCTGTTGCTATCCATTTTGCACAACAAAGCAAGGGCCTTATAAGCAAATCTTAGGAGTAGGGTGGTTCTTCAGAAGGATGGGAAAGCCAGCAAAGGCTCTGATCCAAGGAGAAGGCTGTGAGGTTTGAGGTGTGCGGATTAACCTGTCCCACAACTAAGGAACCGACTCTACTCAGGCCTGTGGTATTCTTAGCATTTTCTTTTCTTTCTTTGTCTCTATATAGCTCTGGCTGGCTTGGAACTCACTATGTAGACCAGGCTGGCTTTGAACTCACAAAGACCCACCTGTTCCTGCCTCCTGAATGTGTCCCGCTGTGCCTTTTATTTTAACAGCACATTGGAGGCCTAGATGACTTACCAGCTTTAGCTCACTCTCCTGATGACACACAGCTGGCTGGGGTTTCGCAGAGAAGGTCATCAAAATTTGCCTAGCTCCACGCCTCTGGTGCACAGTCAGAGAGATAGGTAAGCAGAAACCTGAACTAACTGTATCACTCAGGAGCCCTGCTTGGAGTCTCCCTCAATGCAACCCTTGGAGGAAGTTGACTTGAAACTAGCCCTGAGCTGACTGGTGAAACTGCACAGGTTCATTTTGTCAAGAACATGTGTTTCCCGTTAACTCCTGTTTCTCTGTCAGCCGACATTTTGCTCCCTGTCGCTTCCCTGGGCCACTTTTTTGTATCATGTTACCTAACCACAGCTGATGGCAAGTGGGTAAACATGACCAGGCCCGAGACTTAACTGCTGGGCCCTTCTGAATTCTCTGAATTCACACGCCCTCTGAGATGGGATACTGAGAGAATGTTGTGAATGCCAGATCTGCTAATTCAATTACCAACTACCTTCTCTGGGAGTGGAGAGATCAGAAGACAGGGTGTTCCCCATTCCACGGTGGGGACTTACTGTGCTCTATAGCAGTTGTGGGGACGTTCATTTCTGGATGTACTAAATACTTGAGGCCTGATACCAATTGGTTAATCATACCTGTCTAACATAAATGAGCCAATTTCATTCTGTTCCATTCAGCAAAACGTGAACCACATTCATATTCCCAGTTACCTCCTATTTTATATCTGTATTAAGTTACATTGCTGTGAATGACTACCGGGTGTCTCTCGGTACTGTCTGATGGATGGTCAGATGATGTTACTTTCCTAAAGCTGAACGTTTGCATGTTCAGCATCCATGTCAAGCCTTATGGTGCTTCAGACTCACAAAGAGTCAGACACTCTAAGTCACTCCTGATTGGTTCTGCTTGTCCAGCAGGGATGTGGCTGCCAATTACAAGGCCTGAGATGGAAATAAATGGCCTGGTGAGTTCTCAGCTGTGGATGCGCCTAGCTTTATGCTACCCATGCTTTGAAAGGCTGAGAACACAGCTTCTGGGTGTCGATGTCCCACCATTTAAAGAAAGCGGAGAGCTCCTGGAGGTGTCTGTGGGCGTGTCCTTCTAAAGAGTCAAGAAGTCTTATACTCTGTGGATGCCTCTCTGCTTATCAGTTTGGCATTCGATTCTTCTGTCTGTCTGTCTTTCTGTCTGTCTGTCTTTGTGTGTACATGTACACGTATGTCAATGTGTGTGCACATGTGTATGTGTGTGAGTACACACAGCAATTCTTACACTTTGTGGAAGACTCCCTGCCTATCAGTTTGGCATGTGATTCTTGTCTGTCTGTCTGTCCACCTGACTGTCTGTCATGTGTATGTGTACACATGTCAGTGTGTGTGCACATGTATGTGTGTGAGAGTGCACACAGCAGAGGTCAAGGTCAGGTGTCTTCCTCAGTCACATCTTCACCTTATTCTTTAGAGATGGTATCTCAGTGAAGCTGGCACTCACTGGTTCAGCTTGAATAAATTGGCCAGCATGCCCCAGGGATTCTCTAGTCTCTGCCCACCCGGATCTGGGATTACTGGTACACGCTACCATGCCTGGTAGGTGTTGGGAATCTAAACTCAGTTGCTCATGCTTCTGTGCCTAGCACTTTACTGATGGTACTGCATCTCCAGCCCCAAGTTATGACATTTCTGGTGTTTATTTCTACATGTAGCTAGAGATGCCAACACACAAATAGAATTCAAAGGCGAAACCTGTTCCCATCATCCCAAGCTCCATGAGATAAGCAGAGAAAAGGCTCTAGCTTTGCTTACGACCTACCCCTCCAATGCTCCAGTTTCATATCAGTAAGGACCTCAACTAGATAGTTTTGTTGTTGAAATGGAAAGGAGAAACAAAGGCACTTAACAGCTGTCCTCAGTAACAGCTCACTTGAAATCCACAGAGTTGGGGATGGATCACGACCACCAGAATAGCCTAGTGTCCTTTAATTCTAGAAAGAAAGTGACAGTGAGCAGATTGTATTCTTTTACTTAATTGTGTATGTGGTTCGGTGACAGGAACCTTCACCAGTTGGCTGGACCAAGAGAGTAAATTTAAAATCCTGAAAACGTTGAGACTTTGGCTTAGGTGTCTTCTTTCTAACTGAGAACTATCTCCTAAAGAAAATATGTTTTGCTCAGCTGCTTCTCATCACACTGAGGAAAGCTGTGTTCTGTCTGAAAGGTCAGGAGGTTACTGAGACCAAAAGACAAGACAGAGGAGAAATGAAGCCCTGGTATCTACACTCCAGGAAGCAGAGTGTGGAGCCTCCTGTGAGCCTGCAGCTCTTGTGCTATAGAGGAATGCCTGTATTTCCACCAGCTCTAGGGATGGCCTACAAGGCTTTTGCCCTCAGTCCTGAGACCCTTTTCTTCTCTTTGGAGGTAATCAGCAGGGAGTCAAGAGTGCAGGTCCCACCAGGCTCCCCATAAAAGAGAGTTCATTTCCATGTAATCAGAGAAAGCCAGGCCCCAGCGAGGGCCATTTCACAGGCATGGACGGCCTTTACCAGAGCTAAAGTGATATGGAAGGGAAGTAGTTTTGGAGATGAAGTGACAGCAAAGAATTTCCAGATGTGGCTGGATCGTCACAGTGAGAGATGGAGGCATAAATACATTATCTGAGCACTTGACATGCAGGCCTGAGATGCTCGCCTTCCACAGATGGTGAGAGGCTTTGGAAGTGGGATAGTCTACTGATTTGGATAATGGATGAACCTGTCACGCCATCCCACCCCCACCCACTGGGACACAGCACAGACCTTGGGATTGTATTAGTTTGTTTAAATTCCAGTTTTGGCTCTTCGATCCCTCTACAGTGAAGAATGAAGTTCAGGTCCATTCACCTTTGCAGAATTCACTCTGCACCCGTCAGGCATATTATTTGAAGACCCTCATCCTATCAAAAGGTCTGCAATCATCTGGATGCCGTCTTCACCCGACATGCTCTGTCTAT